TCTCTGTGAGTTCAAGGCCAGCCTGGTCTACATAGTGAGTTCCAGGACAGCTGGGGCTACAGGGAGACCCTGTCTCACAAAGACCAAAAAATAAATAAATAAATGCATTTTTCTCTATGAAACAGTATATTTTAAAATGAAATGGAGATTTTGTTAAGGTTAAAACCTCATTCAATTTTAAGTCTTACAGGGTTTATACTGAGTTCAATATTGTGTAAATGTATTAGTTCAACTGTGAACCTAAAAATTTACAGCCAATTTTGAAAGAGCTGCATCTTTGCTCTGGAAGCTGTTATTGACTATGTCAATGCTGTTGTAATGAAATGCTTTTACTAATTATGTGGTTATTAAATAATTTTTTTTTAAAAAGAGGAATAATGATGAGGATTACCTCAGATTTTTCATGCAAACAAAACAGAATGACTTTTAATGTGTTGAAACAAATTTCTACAGGGCTGGGGAGATGGCTCAGTCACTAAAATGCTTGCCAAGAACACATGAAGAACTGAGTTCAAATCCCCAACTCTCACATAAAATGTCAGTTGTTGTGGCACACCCTTGTAATCCAAGCACCAGGGATGTAGAGACGGGAGCTAGGGCTTGTTGGCCAGCTAGTCTAGTCAATTGGTGAGAGACCCTGTCTCAAAAAATAGGGCGGAGAAGCAACACACACACTGACCCACACACGTAAATCTCACCAACTTATAATACTATAGCCTGATATGAGCCTTCAAAATGAAAGGAAAATGAAGATTCTCAAATAAACAAAATCTGAAGTAATTTCTTTCCAGGGGACCTGCTTGATAAGACATGTTAAACACTCTGTGAATAAAAAAAAATATTAAATAGAGCTAATATAGATATATTAGAAATAATATACAGATGGATCCCTGCAGCTCACTGACCAGCCAGTTTGGCTGTTACTGGGAGCTGTCAGTTCCCAAAAACCTACTTAATACCATCTTATTGGGGAATTAGAGTTTCTGTTCGGGGTCAGAAGAATTCCCTGAATTGACCACTTGGACACTGAGACTCAGGAAAACTTAACTGTTTTATCAAAACTGACCGTCTTGGGATGCAGGCAGGCTTGGGAGCTGCACTGCGACCCAGAGCCATGGAAACCGAGGCTTTGTAAGCACAAAAAACCGCAGAGTAGTGGATTTCTATAGAAACCATAAACATATGTACCAGGAAAGGGTTCGAACAATCTAGGACTGATCTCCAGAGCCTTAACTTATACAGCCATTGGCAAGCTTGCCTGGGGTAGAATGTTCTTCCTCTTCTGCCCTGGACCATTTCCATAGAAACCATAAGCAGATGTACGAGGAGAGGGTTCGAACAATCTAGGGGATTTCCAGTCAGGCGGAGGGCAGCTCTTTCTCAGAGGACAGGGAGGGGGTCTGAGGGGCACTCTCCTTCATTACAAACTTGAACTTTCTGGCTACACAGTTAATCCATAACATCAAGGTAAAGAAAATTATCAGCAATTGACAAACACATCCTGTCATGAAGTCATGGCCTCCACATGCATCTGCATGGGAAAATGCATATGTACATACATTCATACACAAGAATAAATTCAAATAAACTTTATTTTGCCCATCTAATATTTATGTACTAAGTCTCCAAAGTAAGAATCCTAACATGGTTGAAATAGAGGTAGAGGGGGCCAGAGAGATGGCTCAGTGGTTAAGAGTACTTGTTGCATTTTCAGAGGACCAGGGTTGGGTTCCAAGCTTCCACATGGCACCTAGCAGCCATCTGTAATTCCAGTTCCAGGGGATTTGATGCTCTCTTCTGGCTTTTGTAGACACAAGACATGCATGTGGTGCACATATCAACATGTAGGCACACACTCATACACATAAAATAAATGTCTTTTAAATTATAGTAATTAAGAGATTGAGATAGAGTGATTGACAAAATGATTCCCCAACATACACATACACATAATTAAATAAATCTTTTTTTTTTTTTAAATAGCTTGATTAAAAGCCTGGAGAAACAGAAGGAAAGTATCTATAATTATATAATTCAGATATGACATTTTGGTGAACTTCTTTTACATTCTCTTTTCTTTTTTTTTAATTTATTGTTTTTATTTTATGTGTATGCATGTATTGCCTGCATGTAGGTAAGTACACCCATGTCGTGCAATGCCCTCGGATGTCAGAAGAGGCTGTCGGACCCCTTGGGACTGGAGTTACAGACAGTTGTTAGCTGCCATGTGGGTGCTGGGATTTGAACCCGGGTCTTCTGCAAGAACAACCAGTGTTCTTAACCACTGAGCCATCTCTCCAGCGCCTTATTTTTATTTTATGTATATGAGTGTATTGCCTGCATGTATGTGAGTGCACCTGTGTGGTGTAATGCTTTGGAGGTCAGAAGAGGGCTTCGGATTCCCCTGGAACTGGAGTTAAGGATGGTCCATAGCCACCATGTGGGTGCTGGGAGTTGAACCCGGGTCCTCTGCAAGAGCAGTCAGTGCTCTTAACCGCTGCCATCTCTCCAGCCCCAAGTTTAGGTAAGTTTTTAAATGTATATTGCCAACTTCAGAACAGCTACTGAAACATAAAAAGGATAAGTATGCCAAAATAATCAAGAACATGGAATACTAGAAAAATGCTCAGTTACAACTGGAAAAGCCACAGATGGGGGAGGGCAAGCACCATAAATAGAAATCAATGAAAACATCTGGATATAGTAATTACTTTAAATGTGGATGGTCTGATCCAAGAATTAAGACAGTGGATTTAAACACTCTGGTGGCATGGGTGGCTCATGCCTTTAATCCCAACACTCGGTATCTGTGAGATCAAGGCCAGCCTGGTCTACTTAGTAAATTCCAGGTCAGCTGGGGCTACAGGGAGACACTG